AATTTCTACTATAAGCTTACAGTCTGTATATCCTGCTGCATATCCCACCTTGTAAGTCCATCCAGCTTCATTTAGATGAGACAGAACAGGCTGCACAGAAATGAATGGGATAATTTAATTACAGCAAATCTGACAGTTAGGAGTTTCAGACACTTGTGAAACAATGTGCTTTTCTCTCTCTTTCATTGGCATGTGCCTTCACTGAATCTACGCCATTGTAATGCATTGTAGTAATAACACAGTCATCACTGAAAAACACACGAGAGCAGCAATTAAGCACAGCTGAATAGAATAAATATGTTCAAAGAGTTGTTAATTAGAGTGTGCAGTGGAAGAAACAGACGTTAGAAACCAAACGTCCTCAGATCTCAGGATGTTCACTAAAATACAGGGGCGTCCTTTAGCCTCATTGGATTATGCATGCTTCTATGATTCCTGGGATTTCTGGAGGAAAACGATATCACACAGCTCACCATACAGTCAAATTTGTATTCAAAGATTCAGACACATTACAGCAGAACTGGAGAAGTAATCCATTCTCAGTATCAGGCGTTTTGACTTGTCCCTTCCAAGAAGAACACTAAAGGTCAATGTCCCACACTTGGATTAGGCCTACTTTACAAAAACAGCAGTGATTTACCATTAAAAAAGCTTTTTTGTCTAGGCTTAGGCTTAATCTGTATCTGGGAATGGGCCCTAGGAGTTCTATCATAAAATCTTGGTGCAGACAAATGGAGGATAATTAACAGATCTAAACTCTGGATGCAGGAAGAGCACCTGCCAAAGAGAAAGTCCCCCCATTAATCTCCTCTGGAATCATTTTAGCTCATTAAGCCTTCCACCAGCTACTGCCAAGAGACGCTTATGAAACAAGTTAGCGATTATCAATGCAAATCTTAATGGTAACTAATGTTATCATGCATTTCGGTTAAAGAGACTCAGATGTGCATGGAGGAACTGTGATTTTAGTTGGCTGCACCTCAGTCAACCTCGGCCACCACGCATTAGAGCTTCCAGTTAAACTGGACCATCGCCAATAATGGTCAGCAAACCCAAAATGATTTATACGCAGCATGAGAGATAAGAGTTACATTAACATGCACCAGACAGACCACTCCCTGACTCTCAGCAAAACTGAGGAAATCACTGAGATCCAAACATAAATACTTCCATCATGCACAGTGGGGAATGTGTGTTTGAATTGCTTTCAGAATAAGGCAATTACACACTATTGAGCTGAGAGAAACAATACAACTTGAATGCAAGTGCTGGTCGATTGATTACATTGCATACAAACAAATAAAAGTGTTCACAACTAAAGCTTGCAGAGCAATTTAACAAGTGTAAAACCTCTCTGTTTAAAATATACAGCTGCTTTTATTTCCAGATGTTTAAAAATGTACAGTACTGTGCAAAAGTCAGAGAGCACCCTTCACTTATTTCCTTTTTGCTGAGACCCCATTGTTGCTGAAAACTGCATGGGGGGACACTAAAAATGACAATAATAATTTTGTACTTAGCTACAACACAACAAAGACATTCAGTTACCTCCATTTGGGGACCTCAGAGCTCCTTCATTTACAACATTGTTCATTTAGCATCTAAGTACACACTAGGAGAAAAGAAGTACTTCAAAAAAAAAGCAGTAAAAAGTAAAACCACATCTTTACTCATCACAGAACATCAAAACAGTGATGAAAATTGAATATTCTTGCTGACTCGAGTGTACTCAAAACAAAAAGGAAACAAGCCTTTGGACCGTTTGTACCTTTTCATCTGTTCTGTAGGTCCCTAAATTGAGGAGAAACATTAAGGTTACAAGAAGTAAACTGAAGAGTGACTGTTTGTTTTTATACATGACTCAGTTTGCACTCTGCTTTTTCACAAACCTCCAGCAAAAAGCAAAATATTCTGTGGCCCAGGATTCATCCAAATGGCATTCTTCTGCCATCTGCATTCACTAATCTTTGGGAGCACACACTATGTGTCCAAAAGTATCCAGTCACCCCTTCTAATTAGTGAATTCAGATACTTTAAGGTGCACCCGTTGCTGACACACGCATTCAGTTGCACACACATCCTGTATAATCTCCACAGAAAAGCATTGTCAATAAAATGGTATGCTGGCTAGCAGCCACACATGAGACTAAGGTCATCATGCCCAACGCTTAGTATTGGCTAGAGAGGTTTAACCCCTTAAACACCCAGGGCCCGCCAGCAGGCCCAAGGTTTTGTTACACACTTCTATATGGTTTTGTTTTGTAGTGAAGAAAATCCTGTGTTAGTGTAAGTAATTTATAAACCAATCACATTTTTGTTGCCATTTTTTAATAAAAGAGAGAATAATGTAAAATCTAGTGCAAGTAATTTAAAGAAAGATTCTAGAGCTTTTAGCCTACAGACAAGTACAAGGCTTTCATTTTTACAGTTTATGCAAGTACAAAGCAATCCTGCCCCCTGTTGACAGATTATAGTATTTGCAGTTCCATGACACAGTCTTCTAAAATTTTATACATAAGATTCAAGGACATTAACCTAAGAACAGCTCATCCAATTTGCAATGAAGTCCCTGTAGATACTGATTAGTAAACCTCAGTATGTAATAAGCCTGGTATTTTAAGGGGTTCAAGCCCCCAGCTTTGGACTGTGGAGGAGTGGACCTATAATATAGAGAGTTTTATAAGTAATAAGACTCTATCTTTAGGAAGAGTTGGAGTGGCATTTGTGATGCAGAACTAATCATGATGCAGAACACATCAGTACCTGACCTCACTAATGCTCATGTTGCTGAATGCAGTCAAATCCTCACAGCAATGTTTCCACATCTAATGCAAAGCCTTCCTAAAAGAGCAGAGGTAGTTATTGCTGTAAGGGAGGACAAGCTCTCAATGAATACTTTTGATTTGAGAAGAATTGTTGGATGAACTTGTTGACATACATACTTCAGAGGTCAGGGTTCTCCATTATCATCTATCCCAGGGGTCGGCAACATGCGGTTCTTTCATTGCCCTGCTGCGGCTGCACAGCAGAACTAGATTTTTAGCTAAAAATAAAATAATCCTCCTTTGCAGTAAAATAAAGCTCTGCTGATCATTCTAACAACATCTAACATCTAACAATAAATAATTTTAAACGCTGGAGTTAAACTGCTAATTCACAAACTTTAAACCCTGAAGGTTGGCATGCAGACTGCTGGTTACCATAGCAATGACAATAATCTGGCCTAGCTAGTAGCTGATTAAAAAGGTAAAGAGAAAGATTTAAGACGAACATGGATAATTTGGAGACGATTGGACTTATTTGCATTTAAGCACTCCAGCTGGTTTCCTGATACGTTTAATCTGCAATGAGAAACTGTCGAACACTAAAAGGTTGTGAAACTGAAGTCAGCTTCTCATTCGCCAGGTTCTCATTCGAATTTCCCCGTTCCACCTTACATGGTGCAGCAGTTACAGTCTGGCGCCTCAGGCACCATGTAAGGTGGAACAGGAAAATTCGGACAAGAAGCTGGTGAATGAGAAGCTGACTTGAGCCTCGTGAAAAGTCAAACGTTGAGAGACATTTTACAAGGAACTTTTCTACTTTTGTGGAAAGGTTTCCTGCCGGAGATGTGAGAAAAGCAGCTATAGCTGAGCTAAAGCTTAAAGTAGAGCAAAGTAAGTTAAGTCTGTGTTTTTTTTTTTTTTTTATTTACTTAATTATTTATTTATTTTTATCCTATACTAGTACATTGGACTGTACTTATTTACAGCCAAGATGGTAAAATGGACATAAATGATGTGGCTCCTGAGATGGTTTGATTTTTGCTGAAAGGACAAAAAGGCTCATCTCAACATTTGAGTTGCCGACCCCTGATCTAACCAGACAGAGATATGTGGTGGTTAAATGTATGCTTAATACATTTCCAGCAGTCTTATTAAATTCACTTTTGTTCTACCTTAGGGCTAAGACTAGGTGAGCAAAAACTAGAGGGCAATAGCTCAGCTAGTCCTATTTCTTAATATCAGTAATGAAATCTAGTGTTATTGCTGTTGTATATGGCCCAGTAATGATTGCACTGGATATCAGGCTAAGGGATATTAGATGTAGATGAAGGATATGAAATGGGTGCCATTGTTGTCTTTACATCAGACACTCTGTGGCACATAATTATAAATCCAAGTAGTTCCTTCCTGCTTCTCAATGCTGCATATACACTATTGAAAAATATGATTCTTCAAGTGTTCTTTAGTAAAGAAAATAGTATAGAACCTTGAACACTTAAAGAACCATTTGCGTGCTTAAAGGGTTCTTTGTATGGTAAAATCGTTCTTCTGATTGATGGAGAATGTTGGTTCTGTATAGAACCTTTCTGAAAAGGGTTCTATATTGCACCAAAAAAATGTTTCTGCTATTGTATACATGGTGGCCATCATAACAGTAGCAGATCTCTTTTTGGTCCAGTATAGAACCATTTACAAAAAGGTTCTACATAGAACCATGTACAATACACTCTCCATCAATCTGAAGAACCATTTCACCATACAAAGAACCCTTTAAGCATGTATATAGTTTTTTGAGTGTCCATGGTTCTACATAGAATCAATAGAATCCTTGAATGACCAAGAGTGAAGTATGGATTTTTTTTTTTAATATTTAGGCAAATGTCTCCTTTTTTCTATTCATCAAAAAAGCTAATCCTACACTGCTCAGATTTCAGTCTTTTTCTCCGTCTCCCATGTTTGTGCAGGTTAGAAGATCATTACTACTGTTATCTCACTTGTGAAGACACGTGACAGGCTGAAAAGCCCCTCCTGTCATGCACTTACTCACAGGTGCCTCACAAATCATAAAGTTACATAAACTGTCATATCAGTTATATCACACAATCTCACTGACTGACTCACTGTGCTGAATAGGGGAATCTTTAGTAGTCAAAGAATTGTAGTGTATGTTTACTGGTGGTTTTGTTTCATGGTGAAGAAAATCCTGTGTTAGTGTAAGTGAATCATAAGCCAGTCATGTTTTTATTGCCCTTTATTAATAAAAGAGAGACTAATCTAAAATCCAGTGCAAGTAATTTAATCTAGAGCTTTTAGACTACAGACAAGTACAAGACAATCCTTTCACACAGTGCTTTCAAGTTTACAGTTTACACAAGTACAAGACAATCCTGCCCCCTGCTGTAAAGTCATAGTATTTACGTTTCCATGACAGTCTTTTAAAATGGACACCCCACCTAATTATTGACTTCAGGTGTTTCAACCACACTCACTGCTAACAGGTTTATAAAATCAAACAGATTGCCATGCAATCTCCATAAGCAAACAATGGCAGTAGTTTTAGGATTCAAGGATGTTAACAGAAGACTTGAACAAAAAATGAGCTTACACAAACTCTCCTCTCCCACATTTTCTGTCTCCTTCGCTTTTGCATGTGTGATGACAGCTATTCAAAAAATTCTAAAAACTTTGGCCTATTGACTGTTTTGGGAATGCAACCAGACATTCAGTAATAATATGGATCTTATGATATTCTGTCTACACTAAGACACTGGTGGTGAGGCAGGAGGTCAGTATGGAGACCCAGATGGTCACACTTACTGACACAGCTCCTGAATCTGTGCCATCAGTGAAGGTTTTATCGTGCACATGGGTGATGATGTGCCGAGCTCCTGCATAAGCCTCCTCACAGGCTGGCTGGATCTGCTCTTCTGGAAGCAAGAAGCCAAATTCGCTTTTGTCCCGCAGCTCAAACGTGTAGGAGAAGGGGATTCCAATTAGCCGTGCCCAGTCCTGAGAGGATCCTGAGAATTCATCTAATCATAGAGAGAGAGATGAGAGACAGGATGAGAAAGAGAGTAAAATAAAAGTGCCATCTATGTGGTAACAGGATATATACAGTGTATGATTGAGAACCAGGAAATAATCAGCTGAAACTAACAGAGTATCTCTGGAGGAGTTCCTGCTTCATATTCCATCCCATGAACGGCTGTCATTGCTTTTGCTGCAGCCAGACCTACTTCCATCTATAAAGGCAAAAGAAACACATGAGTTGGTACTCTAAGTGAACCATATGTAGGGCCCATACACCAATTTCTCGCTTTAATAACTGTATCACTTAGAGTTGTATGCAAAGGTTTGAATCCCTCTGGTCAGTGTACATGTTCCATTGATTTTCTAAGTGAATTTCATACATTCTCTACAGGGAACAAACTTAAATGTGGCATTTGTTTTTTGCAAATTCTGCACAGTATTTATTTATTTGCAGAGTTTATCAAAATAAAAATAAAACTCTTGCACAGGCCACATTTTATGTTTTATTTTTTCCAATAAATTAAATTCAGCAAATAAACAGTAATTTGGTATTAAAATGTGCAGTACTGCATTCTCTGTAGAGGATAGGTTAACTTACTTTTACTTAGAAGAAAAAAATGTGATTTGACCAGGGACACCCACATTTTTGCATATAACTGTACTTATTAGTTTCATAAAATAGCTACTGAATGATAAGCCTAAAGATTACTAAGTAAATAATAAAAATGGAGCTCAAGAGATAAAAGACTGGGGATTTGCATAAGTGCAGTAAGCTCACCAGTTCACCATGATTGGGTGCTGCGACATGTGGGTGCCCATATGGAAGCAGAACCTGTTGTCCATACGAATGGATTGTCAGGAAGCAGATGATTTCAGCTGTCCTGTTCCCAACAAACTCAGTCACAGCCTGGGCCTCTTTCTCAGACACTGGTGATGGGCCACAGTAAGTGTTGGAGCAGCAGTCAGTAGAGACGCCAACCGCTGATGGAATGAGAAGTAGAGAACATTTACTTTAGTACTAGTGAAAAGTATGGCTTTGCAGGTGGTAGAATTTGTTTCCATAATTGTTATAAGGGAAACTCACTTCCCCAGTTAGCATAGAAATTGCGGTTGAGATCGACACCATGGCAAGTACAGTCAGCAGGAGGAGGGGATCTGGATTTCCTCCACAGTCTAGTCTGTAAGCATGATCAATAAGTTATGTCAATATACATTTTAATGAACAGTAAACAGAGAAGTGCTTGTCCTTATTCAGAAGTGCTTAATATTGCTCACACTCTCATTGATCCAAGTGTATATGTATCCATCAATGTTCAGCACTGGGGTCACATAGAAATCCAAGTTCTGAACCATTTGTTTCATTTTTTCATCTGTTCTGTATGTCTGTAACATCTGTACGAGACAAACATGGCCAATATGTTAACTAAATATAAGTAAATAAGTCAAATCTAAATTTACATTCAGTCGAAACCTCACCTCTTTGACAAACCACTGGCAAAAAGCAGGAGCGATCCATTCCCTGGCGTGAATCCCACAGTCCATCCAAACAGCCTTCTTCTGCCTGCCATCAGGGTTTGCCACTGAAATCTGAGCATGCAGCAAATATGAACATACTAGACTCATACTAGCATTCATTTGTTTACATTCCAGTGTGCTAGTTTTAAAAAAATTAAAAAAAGGTAAACTGGTCCACTTTATGTTTGATCATTTTAAACTTCTAAACAGTAAATGTGAATAACTAACCAACACGTATCATGTAAAGCATAACATTTTTATTGTCTGTGTGATTACTACTCTACTTAGTCTCTGCTATCACTTATTACACAGACCTTGAAAGGCCAAGTCAATAAAGAAGTATCAGTAACTAGAAGGTGAGTAAAAATCATCAGCACAAGCATCAGTGCAAAATAATACACTTTATGGCCAAAAGTATATGGACACCCCACCTAACTATTGACTTCAAGTGTTTCAACCTCATCCACTGCTAACGGGTGTATAAAATCAAGCACATTACCATGCAATCACCATAGGCAAACACTGGCAGTAGAAAGTGTGACACTGTCATAGGATGCCACCTTTGCCACAAATTACTTTGTAAAATTTCTGCTCTGCTAAATCTGACCTGGTCAACTGTAAGTGCTACGATTATAAAATGGAAGCATCACGGAGCAACAGCAGCTTAAGCACAAAGTGGTAGAACATGGTAGAACATGAAGAGCTGCAGAATGCTGCAGTGTGTGTTGCATAAAAATAGGCTATTCTCTGGTACATCACTCACTATAGGGTTCCAATCTGCCTTTGGAGGCAACATGAGCGCCAGATCTGTGTGTAGGGAGGTTCATGAAAAGGGTTTCCATGACCAAGCAGCTGCACACGGGCCTAGCGTCGGCTGGAGTGGCATAAAGCATACCACCACTGGACTTTGGAACAGTAGAAACATTCTCTGGAGTGATGAATCACGCTTCACTATCTGGCAGACTGATGGATGAATTTTGGCTTGGAGGATGCCAGAAAAACACTACCTACCAGAGTTCATAGTGCCAAGGGATAATGGTCTGGGGCTGTTTTTCAGGGTTTGGACTCAGCCGCATTAGTTTCTGTAAGGTGTAATGCTAATGCTAACGCACACAATGACAGTTATATTCTTTTACCTTTATGGTAGTTTGAGGAAGCCTCTTTCCTGCTCCAACATGACTGTGCCCCTGTGCACAAAGCAAGCTCCATAAAGACACGGTTTGGTAAGTTCAGTGTGAAGGAAATCCAGTGGCCTGCACAGAGCCCTGACCTCAACGCCACTAAACACACTTGTGATGAATGGGAAACTCGATTGCGAGCCAGGCCTTCTCATCCCACATCAGTGCCTGACCTCACAAATGCTCTTTTGATAGAAAGGGTACAAATTCCCACAGACACACTCCAAAATGTTGTGGAAAGCGTTCCCAGAAGAGTGGATGCTGTTCTAGTCCCAAAGGTGGGCAACTCCATATGAATGCCCATGATTTTGAAATGGGCTGTCCAACAAGCCCATATGGGTGTGATGGTCAGGTGTCCACATACTTTTTGCCATATAGTGTATTTCGATCTGAAGGTGGTAATTCAATAGCAATGATCTTGGAATGTTAAAGTGTACTTGGTTTTCAGCCAAAATAAATTTTCTAGGGTCCTTTTGATTGTAAAAATCCTAGAAAAGCTTGTTGTTCTTTTTATTGTCTATAGTATAGTAGACACTGTGAATATTGTTTCCTCAATCACATTTGTGTTTTCAGTGTGATTTTGCATATAACTTGTACCAAAAAATCTAGGCCTAATTAGTCTGAGATTAAGTTTTTTTGATGCAGAGAATCATATCAAAAATAATAATAAAATTATCAAGATTAACACCCTGAGTAACTAGTAATGATTTAACACCTTACCTTCAGAAAAGTGATATCTCTGCCCTCAAATGTCTTTCCATACGCTTCAGAGGTCACAACTCCAGGGTTCTCCTTTACAACTTGATCCATCCAGGCGGTGATCTGTGCAAGTATTCATCCAAATACATTTCAAGTTTGCTAAAGATTATCCGATCCTGTTTAGCACAGGGCATTTTTCTCTATTGTTGTTCTTCATGAAGGAGAGGTATGGGTGTTGGATCACATTTCCTACCTCAGACATGTTATGGTATTTTGTGTAATCATAATTCCGAACTGTTCTGTGCTGATCTTCAACTCTGTAGACATTAAGCAACACCTTTTACAGCAATTCACAGTAGGAAAATAAATATTCAAAGCATTTTTCAACTATTTATTTAATCTGAGTGACAGAATGAAGAGTATAAGTTCATATATAAGAACTCACCTGTATGGAAAACTTGCACAGCCATGGAAAGCCAGCAGCGAAAACAGTACACTCACACTCAACATGTTCTGTCCTTAATGATAAAACCAAACACAGGTTTACTTCTCTGCCTATCCTGACACATTCAGTTAATAATCAATTTCTGTCGAAACTGTGTGACGTTCCAGTCCAGCTAACAGTCTACTTCCGTCTCTGTAGTGTGTGGCACTTCAATCCATTTAACTATGATTACAACTGACTATTGTGTCATCTATGTATAGGGGGCGTAGGGCATTTTGTTCCATTTTGGTCACATCCCAAAATCATAAAGCAGACTGGATCACAGTGATAGATAGCACTGAAAGAGTGATAACATATCAGTGATTATATTACACTGACCTTGTCGAGCAAAGAAACAGCTCCCATTATGCTTTGCAGTGTACAGCAAAACAAAGAACTGGTTTGGAAAGGAGGCTGGTTTGAAGATGGCTGTGTTTACCCTAAAATGCAACTCAGTGACTACAAACAAATGTTTATTTTTTTAAAAAGTTTATTAAAAAGAATTTTTGTCCACAGTAGTTAAGTCTTTGGCACCTAAAACAAAAAACAAAATGAAAACAAAAAAGTATACATCCAAAATCGCATTCTATAAAAATGCATTGATAAGAGGGATAAATAAAAAAAAAAAAAAGAAAAAAAAAAGAAAGAAAAGAAAAACATTAAATGTGAATGCCATTAATACAGTGCTTTCCTTTGTTTCCTTATGGAAGCAGAGGCCACAGATGCAAACCAACCAAACAACCAATTCAAAAACGGGGTCAACATTACATAATAAAAAAAGATGCCTACAAGGCACAGACACTTCCATTGTAAGACAGTGCTTGCATTTTTTTTGGAAGGGTCTCAATATTTTTAAAGGTCACTTAGAAAATGGATGCAGGCCATAAAGTCACAAACTCATTCAAAGGGGTGTCTTACAGACAAGAGGCAACAATGGCAAAAATACATGAAGACGTAGTCTTTGGTCTCTGCTGGTTCCTCTGATCAGAACAAATTAAACAACAAAAAAATCGCAGGACAGAATCTTTAAGAATTCTGTAAAACTCCAGTACTAAAACCGTTCTGTCCAGACTGAAGGCTTGAGTCAGCGGGCTTTCACTAAGCAATGGTGACTTGCATTTCTGTTGTGTAGGTCAAAGAAAGAGGACAGAGAGCAGCCTGTCCTGGCACATGAGGGAGATTGCGGTGTGCGGTGGGCAGGCAGGCAGGGAGTGGTGCAGAGGCAGCAGGACTGGGTTCAGAGTGTAGACTGAGAGAAGGAGTGAAAGGCACTGAGGGGTATACAGTAAGTACAGTCTCTAAGGTACGCTGCTCTTCAGCACTGTGTATAACAGACACTATTCTGAAGGGCTTTGGGCATCTGCTAGCAGGTCTGGTCTGAGGCACTCAATGGGACACTGGATGTTCTGTGAGAGGGAGAGAGAGAGTTGTTCAATAACACTGCAAGCTTGATAACTCAGTACGGTTAAAGCCAAAGTCCTACAAAAGGACTTTGTGAACAAGTGAAGCAGGACACCGATATCTACTGAGGAACTAAATCATCTCTGGGGTTCAGACTTACCAATTTGCGCAGGGCATTCTCTCTGTAGCGGTCGTAAATGTCTGGGTGCACTGGAGGCTGGATGAGGTCCACGTCTACCTCAGCTCCAGGACGACGGCAGTTCTCACAGCGCCAGCCCTGAGGGAACAGCATATGTTCAGCTTTCATCGGGACCTCAGTGACAGCATCATACCTACACACTCTACTCTGCTGCAGTGTTTAGACACTAGAATCTTATTCTTCTCAAATTCAAGAGAGAGAACTCATTTTGTCTGTAATGGGACAGTAAATACATTTACACAGACTGGGAACTGATCCTCATTCATATTTTGTCTTTTCACATTTAAGAAAATTCTCCTAAGCTCACTAACATGAAAATGTATGCATGAATGTAATTAAGAGGGGAGGTGAGTGTTACCTGCTGTCCACCATAGCAGGTGCATGTGCAGATGGCTCCAAGGTACTCCTTCTGCCACTGGTCACCGACCTGGTACATCTTTCCTTCATCATAACATGTTGACTCATCTAAAAACATAATTTTGAGAACATGCACATCAAAGTACTGTTTAATATACAGAACAACATGGCAAAAATTGGAGCAGATGACAAATATATCAAAAAGAGTGAACAGCAGCCACTCTCTGACTCTTCATCACCATGCCATTTTAGCTGCATAATAAATTTGACCAATAGATTTGAATGGTAGGAAGCCAGTAAGGATGCACCAGTAAAACTTTTACTCTTCTGATTCCAATATGAAAACTCAGCCTATCACTGATCTGTTAAAGTTTTCATGTTCCATAGTAGCAAAGTAAAATTACAGACAGCAAGTTAGACGTTAAATTGTCTCCTGTTGCAACACTGACTAGCACGTAGGTAACATTTGTTGGTGACACTTTACTGAAGGGCAGGATTCCTAAGGTTACATGACAACTTATGTAAGTTGCAATTAGACTGCTTTCATCTGAGGTTGTTTCATCTCAGAAAGTGTTATAACAACTGGTGGTTGCTGAAACAAGCCATTATAAAAGTTTATACGTTGGCTGTCATGAAAAGCTTTCGTAGGTGTCATATAGCCTCATGAACACAGCTGTTCAGTAAAGTGTTACCCATTTGTTTCCCTCAACAATTTTAAAACATTTTTAAAAATTAAGTGATAGTATTAGAAAATATCATGTGTGAGTGCATTAATATTCAACAATCATGAGTAATTTTTTAAAATTAGCCTTTTTAACAGTCATACACCAAAATTCTTCTTAGGATTGTGCAATTTTTTTATTCCATTCTTATCGAAGGTTTACAAAATTGCTCTGTTACAATTGTACAATGAGCATAACTAAAAAACAGTAATGGATAGGCCGCATCTGGTAGATATTCGATATGATAAGCAAGATCACCATACCAATCCAGTTTATCGGAAACCAGCATATTGGACCAGTGCATCACTAGAAAGCATGAACTTAGTAAGTGTGAAATGCTGAAGCTTACGTGGCTCGCATTTGAACTCTCCCTTTCCATTGCCCAGGCAGGTGCAGCTCATCATGTGCCCATTCTCAGCATGGCGGTCCCACTTCTCCCCGATACGGTAATTATGGCCATTGTCATGACACCATTCTGTTTGCATGGAAGGGTAAAATGTGGGTAACCGAGTGAGGAAAATACCACTTGGTCAGACTATATCTTCACTTACGCAGTAATACAGACACACAAAAATAGCCACACAGTAACTTTTGCTCAGTGCAAGAATAGCATGATGTCTACATAGCCCTTGAATTCATCCATCTCACCCACACACATGTACGTTCATAAGAACCAGTGACCCATGATCTTGTCACTGATGCAGTGCTGAAGAAGACAGTAAGCCAGTCTTAGAGTTTGGTATCGTCCAGTTACAGTTTGACAATACAAATCTGAGACATGAGCCACCTCTTACCTAGTTGTCATGTGAACTGTTACAGACATGACAGACATGGGCTAGCATGGGCAAAGCTAGAATGATCAAACAATGACTTCCTCTTGTGAGCCTTGATGTTTTCTACAGATTTCAGAGCATGATTCCACTAACAAACTAATGAACATAGTCACCTTGGACAAACTGTTAGATACATTATATTTTAACCAGTCTGTAAATGAAAACAGTTGCCCATGCTAGTGTGAGGTGTGAGGTTTAGCATGTGAAAACGCTGGATTAGTCACTCACTGGATGAATCACATCTGAAATGACCACTGCCTAGGCCAAGACACCTGCACCACAGCTTAAATCCTGTCTCAGACATGCGCTCCCATTCTGTGCCCACCTCGTGGTAGGTAGCAGTGAACGTGTCATAGCACACGTCCCTGCCTATGGGGATAGCTGAAGGTCCAGGAACTGGAAAACATTTTACAGATTAAGACACCGTATCCTTTTAAGATGCACAGACAGACAAAAAAGTATGTACTACTTTATGAGCAATTGTGTGATGGGTTAAAAGTGATTTGTACTGTGGTGACTTGTGAAAAGGTGAGCTTTACCAGTGTTGCCGACAGTCACCACTTCTTCCAGAACTTTCTGTTTTTGACCTTCGTTGACAGATTCTACAACTATGTTATAGGAGGCTCCAGAGGTGAGACCAATCAGTGTGGCACTAGAGGAGGTGCCAGGAAGATGCATCTGTAAGAGGGGAGACAGAAACTGAAGAGTCACAAAAAGGCCATGTATGTATTGCCAAGGCTCTTGTGTTACAGAATCGATATTTTAATGCCATTAATACTCCCTAGATTCCTGGTTACTGTACACTGAGCTGCCAATTTATTAGGAACATATACCTAATCCCTATCCTTATTGGCCATTTTACCACATACAAAGTGTACTGATATGGTTAGTGTAATTATGCAATTGAAGGGTTTCCTTGCTCATATTTAATTTCACATATAATCTATTACAGACCACTTTCAGGAATTTTCTTTTTTTGTGATAAGTTGTTTGCAAACTTTACACATGTAAGAAATATCAATGTTATATTATGATCAATGATACCTAGAGAAATAAAAATGTTTTCCATTATCTGTCAGCTATTACAACTTTTCAAAAATTTGTTATATCCAAGTTATTACAAATAGATATACAGTGTTTTGGAATGAAACTCTTCAAGTACAGACTGCAACTGAGCACCACAGGACCACCACTGACCAGATATTATTTGCGCGCTGGACTATTCGCAGCAGTGCCACAAACATGGTAGCAGCCTTTTTTGTGGGTGTTGTGCTGGTAGGAGTGTATCATGCACAGCAGGAATGTACACCTGTATGGTAGGTGCACCTCATGACCAGTGAGTGTACGGTTTTATCAGTGTCTAACCTAGCTAGCTTGGCATTTGAATGTTTGTGTGAGCACAAGTGAGGCAGTGGATTTGATATGCTCACCTGGAAGGTCTTCTCGCTGATCTCTGTGATAGGACTGCAGGAAACCACATACTCTGAGCTGTTTGGCACTGGTTGCCATGTGATGGTGGTCTGGGTCTGGGCTTCCTGGGGCAAGTCTGTCTCATTTAGAGGGAACTCAAACGGGAAGCCAGTCACAGGGCCTTCATTCACCTTTACCACAGGCACTCTGTGGCCGTCTGGCCCAGGAAGAGGGATGTAGA